AAAATAATTTCTCATATAAGTTAGGCAAAAAAGGAGAGGAATTCGACTGAGTAATGAACCGGGGGTTTACTCGATAGACTAAAATCGCTGTACAACTAGTAAAGTTGCAATAATGGATAAGAGTAAATTCAAACGACCCGTACCTTCAAAGTATGGTGAACTATTTCAAGGACGGATTAGCCGTCATTTATAAAAGACAAAAACCGAAAAATTGGCATACCTGTTAGCGTGACATAAACTCCACCTTGGTCTGGTTCCTTCGGAAATTGCTCACGGTTTGGCTACTGTTATTCAGAATTTCGACGTTTTGACTAATCACGACAGTAACACCGGAGTGATCCAAGTGAGCCTTTGGTGGTTTAACATACCTCCACAAGATCCTGTGTGAGATCAACACCATTGCCATACTGCTTCGGAGGAAGGCCTCTATATCTTAACCTGGAACCCCGAGGACTAAGAACACATCTTGCCAGAGTGAGTGGCAGATGAAACGTCGATAAAGGCTGTGCACCGCAACAGATCGCTCATTTACCCAAGACGTGGATTCTACCTTCAAATGACAGCATGATTAACGTTTTCAGTATATACGTACCTGCCTATTCAGAAAACCTTTAGCTTACCAAGCAAACAGCTGAGTGAACGCAAGCCGGTTAAATGGTGTTCATTGCTAGGCCATTGAATCATTGCTCACACGGACCTGCATCGAATCAAGGCATTTACCAACAAATATTTTTATGAAGATTATTGTACCCTGATTTGTTTGGTAGTCTAGCGTCAGACGTGTGTGAAATATATATATATATATAATTTTAACAACAATCAACATGTTTCTTATCCTCAACGAAAGCTCAACCGAAGGGGATTAGCAAGATATTGCAACTCGGAGTCTGTCACGCTGAATCTGTAATAGCACGATGTAAGTACACGTCCAGGGGTCGTGATCACGATTGATTTTAGGCTACCCCTGTATTGCAAGCGTGCGGCTAACATGCCTCGACACGAACTTTTCAGGCCGTGCAATGTTGTCAGTTGCAGAAGACCCGAGGTATTAGTACCTTTGTACAAAACTATTGTACGTCCTTTAGAATATTGCGTACACGCATGAGCGTCTTATTATAACAGGATGAACGGTGCCTCGATAAAATACAGCGTTAAGTAACCAAAATGGTAGTAGACCAAAAAGGGATATCCCCAACGTCTGAGGGACCTGGACTTATTCTCCCTGGCCCGCAAATTTTCGAGATTATTAAAGGACTTTCTGGTCTAAAGTCCGAAGATCTTTTCTTGTCTTTCTTTTAGAGGCACGATAGGGTATCAACTTAGACTGGAAAGACGTCATTGTATGATAAATCTACGGGCTAAGTTGTTCACAGATAGGGTTATACTACTGTGGAATAAATTACCAGAAGCAGTGGTTAACTGAGTGTTGAATCTTTCAAGAGAAAGCCAGACGAGTGCTGGACAGCATTCCGTGAAGATGGATGTTGAAAAATTAGCCGCTAGGTTTTAATTTGAAAGGGATCTGATACTGCACACTAACACTGCTTTTGGAAGAAGAAAAAACTATGGACTCGAAGTGTTAGAAGCCAGCGAAACGGCCAACACAAGGAACTGGGCGTGCGATTGGCAGAAGCCACAATTCGTCCGATGAGAACGGAACAGAACAAGCAAAAGCTTACATAGGCAATTCTCTTTAAAGACAGCTAACTAACCTGAGTCTAACTTCAGCTTGTAAGCAACGCCGACAATGCAGTTGTGATCAATCCTGACTTTCACGTTGCTCTTCGGGGACAATTTGTATTGGACAGCCGCACCGAAACTAGTTTCACGGGTTTCCTTTTTCCAACCAACCTTGAAAGCCATCTTCATGTCTTTGTGTTTTTGGTAAACGCTCAAATCTATATTCGCATGATCGATGAGCGACGCCGTTAGCCGCAAATCGTCTTGTTTGAATCCGACAGTGTACACATGTTTCTTCAATTTGAATGGCTCAGTTTCAACCACACCTTGGGCTCCCAGAACAACGGCCTCAAAATTAGGTACTCTGACAATGGAGACTACGGTAAATTAGCAGAACATCAACGTACGGAACAACAAATGAACCCGTCACCAACGGATACCTAGAATTGAAGTCCATATCAAATCCAACGTTGACCAGATCATGCTTAAACTTGTTCCTTAGCTGCAACGATTTTTTCCTGGAAAGTAGAGTATGTTAGGAATTATTCCATGTGTCACTTTACCCTGATTCAGTTTCCACAGTTGCCACAGCATTGTGAGACAACCCTTTGTGGAGTTTCTTCTCAACTTCCACATCCGTGGTGACAACCCAGTTGGAATCAACCTTGGTTTTGATGGATACACCTTTGGTTGGTTTCAGCTTTGACTCAAGGTATCCGGCGACCTGCTGGGACTTGGTGTCGTGCTTTCCACCACAAGTAACGGCGATATCGTTTTTCGTTTTCGTTTTGAATTCAAAATTCAACAGCCCATATTTGAAGTGCTTATCGAAAAGCTCCCGCGCAGATTTACCCAAGTCTTTGAAACTTGTAACCATGATGCACACACCGGACGATCAAAGGGGCGATGCAAAGCGAGTACAGAGGGCAACAGGTAACCGAACAACGAACCCGGAGCTGATAAAAACACCGTTCAATCCAATCCAATCGTCCAGAACGTAGAGGCCTTGGCCTAATGGTTGTCCTGATTCTGGCTCGATCTCGTCGGTAGACCGATCAAGCTGTATGTTTGTCCGGCTTGCAGCACGGTTGATGAGGTCAGGTCAGGTCAGGTTGCACAGGATAATTCCGCGACCGTCCGAAGATGCGGGATTCGGATGTAGTAGGAGTCGCGTCTGTTATTGGCAAGACTGAAAAAGAAAGGGAACATGCTTTCTTCTTGCCGTGTCAGCGAGAGACTTACGTACACTCAATCGTAAGCGCTCCTGCGTGTGCATGCTGAGCATGCGCACCACGTTGTGTCAAACGTGGGGGTGGGGAGAATAAAAGAGGGAGCTTATTTCCCTTCCGTTTTAGGTGACTTCTGGAAATGTTTCGCTCCATACTCTATCTAATTCCATTTTAAAGGCTTGCACTGTGGTCAGTTGAACGAGTCTTCCGGGGAGGCGATTCCAGAAGTTGACCACCCTGTTGGTAAAAAAATGTTTCCTCACATCCAACCTACTTCTATTCTTTTCTAAGTGACATTCATGGCCTCTCAGGTCTCTCGTGGATCTCCGAGGTAGGAGACCTAGATCGGTGTTCTTCATTTGTCTGAAGACTTCGATCAGGTCTCCTCTTAAACGTCTCCTACGCATAGAGAAGAGGTTCAGGTACCGAAGCCGGTCTTCGTAGGATAGTCCTTTGGTTTTGCGAACCATTCTAGTTGCTAACCGTTACACTTTTTCTAACCTGTCTACGTCCATTACGCGGTAGGGAGCCCAAGCTTGGACGCAGTATTCTAGGTGGGGTCTGACGAGTGCCCTATACAGAGGGATGAATACATCAGCTTCTCTGCTGGTTATTGCAGCTCTGAGTGCAAAGAGCGCTCTCCTGGCCTTGTGGGCTGCTTCGGCGCATTGTTGGCTAGGTGTAAAGCTGGCTGGGACTGTAATCCCAAGATCCCTGACACACCTCTCTTGTTTCAGCGTATGAGCTACTTGATTTGGGAGCGTAAGCCGCAGGGGGGGTTCCGGAGCATTTTTGCTTAGAACACAACATTTGGTTGCGTTCAGCGGCAGATCCCATCTCACCATCCACGCTGAGAGCCTGTCTAAGTCGTCTTGTATTGGTTGACAACTGGACGAGCCGCCAACTATTTTAACGTCGTCGGCGTAGATGAGGCACGGATTTGCGACCTCCTCGGCAAGGTCGTTGATGAATATTAGGAAGAGGAGTGGTCCTATTATTGACCCCTGGGGGACTCCACTGGTCGCTTTCCCTTCGCTGGAAATCGTAGATCGTATTTTCACCTGGTATGTACGGTCGTGGAGTAAACT